CTGCTTGTCCCGACAGGGAAGCGGCCGTGCGGGCACGGGGAGCACTGGCCCCTCCAGCCTCTGGAGCGGTCCTGCTTTTGTTTCTTGCAGGGTGACAGCAGCATTCGCTACTTCGAGATCACGGACGAGTCCCCCTACGTTCACTACCTCAACACCTTCAGCAGCAAGGAGCCGCAGAGGGGCATGGGGTTCATGCCAAAGAGGGGCCTTGACGTGAACAAGTGTGAGATTGCCAGGTAGGGAGAGAGGCTGTCGGGGCGGGTAGCGTGGTCTTAGCGAGCCGCTCCGTCGCGACCTCAGCCCTTCGGAAATGAGAAGTCCTGCTGCTGGGTGTAGGACCCCGCTGTTGGGAAGACCTCTGTGCCACGCGATTCCTTCTGCAGTGTTTGTTGGGACCTGTGACATGAAGCGATCCTTGTGCTGGGCATAACGTGGTATAACCTCAAAATCTGCTGGGACTTAGGCTGGGTCTGTTGTAAATGCCCGAGTGGTATCGAGCGGAATACATTGTCTGCAGAAAACTTGGCACCCGGGTGGTTACAGCCTACGCTGTCAACGTAGCAGTGATAAGCTTTTGGTGCCCAAGTCTGGTATCAGTCTCCAGCTTGTACCCAGCAAGTGGGTTGGAAACTGGTTTCGGGAATTTAGAGAGTAATTAAAGCAGCAGTGCAGCGACCAGAGGAGTTGCCAGGGAAGCCACGGCAAAGGGAGAGCACGGCTCAGGAGAGCGGGTCTGTGTCACTGCAGTGGCTCCTGGCACACGCTGTGCCAGATGTGCCCCTGAAGCCTTTTGGTGCTCCTTTGGTTATTACTGAAAGCAGGAGCCCCTGAAAGGGAGCAGAGCCTGCACCTGCCTGAAGCGCAGGACTATTTCAGCAGCAGCAGCCAGGCCGAGGACGTTGGAGTTCGTGGTGCTGACCCAAAGCAGGGCTGCAAGGGGTGACCGGAGTGTGGAGACACGTGTGAGCCGTCAGCAGAAGGCTGGGTGGTGTGTACCTGTGAATTACTGGTGTGGTGCTTGTCCGGACGGTGGGAGCAGGGGGCTGTGCCTCACTGACAGCCCGTCCTGGCCAAAGCACGACCCTCTGAAGTCACCCAGTACCTGAACTGAGGCCTCCTTTGCACAGCGTGTTGGCTGTCCTCACGCCTAAGTCGCCCCTTTTCTTTTTCTTTGAAAGGTTCTTCAAGCTTCACGAGAGGAAGTGTGAGCCCATCATCATGACAGTTCCTCGAAAGGTGAGCACTACGTGCTGGTTGTGTGGTTTGAAGCCAGCTCATGCCTTCCAGCCCCAAAACACTTGACCAATTCATCTCCTCTGGCTTGCAGTCGGACCTCTTCCAGGATGACCTGTACCCTGATACTGCTGGCCCAGAAGCAGCTCTGGAAGCAGAGGAGTGGTTTGAGGGGAAGAATGCCGATCCCCTTCTCATCTCCTTGAAGCACGGGTACATTCCAGGCAAGAACAGGGATCTCAAGGTGGTCAAGAAGAACATACTGGACAACAAGCCTGCCGGAAACAAGAAAAGTGATCTCATAAATGCTCCAAAGAAAGCAGCTGATGCCCTAAACACTGTGAGTAAAATTCACAAGCTTTTGGGGATGGTGGCCTGAGACATGATTACCAGGGTGCTGCGTCTTCAGAAGCAGTTGTAACAAAAGCTCAAGTATGTGTGATTTGAGTACCCCTAGACTGGGTGCCAGTGGGTGACCTGGAGCTGAGGTGGTACATGGGTTTTGGTTTTCCAGGCGAGGTTTCTGTAGCTGTGGAAGATTACTGGGAACTGTGACCCAATGGATGGCTTGGCTTGTTGGTCCAGCCACCCACCTGCCTAGGACAGCTTCTGTACACCTCTTTTTTGTGTAAAACCCAGCACAGACAGTGGGACAAAGGAACCTCAGGCTCGGCAGGTCCGGAAGAAGGTGGTACAAGTTCATAATTGGAGGCCGTAGCTAACGCATCGTGCAGTAATACGCAGAGATGGGGAGGTGACAGCTGTCAGTCAAGTAGGTCCCTAAATGCTGTTCCAGAGCAGATACTGGTCCAGTATGTCCTTGCAGCTTGCCCTGCTGCTGCTGGAAATGCTGGTCCATGCCCTGAGCGTCACAAGTGCCACGGCGCCTGCGCCAGGCGTGCGGGGCGTGCTCACCCCGCTTGCCTGCCCGCCCCGGCGCGCTTACGGTTTTTTTCGGAAGACCCCCTGGCTTTGGAAACCCCCGTCTGCAGAGCGTGTCCCGCCAGCTCTCCCGACAAATCCGTGTCTTGTCTTGTCTTCCAGCAAAACGACGCCAAATTGGACGAGATTTTGAAAGAGCTGAAATCCATAAAAGACACGATCACCAACCAAGACGAGCGCATTTCCAAGCTGGAGCAGCAGATGGCAAAGATCGCGGACTGAGCGGGGCGAGGGCGCCGGCCCACCAGCCCCAGCACATTCCAGTTCCCCAGTTCAGCGAGCAGCAGCGTGCAGCATTCCAGTACGAGCTTTCCTGTTCTCCTAAATTCACGTCAACGAGAGCCGATGATTTAAAGCCAAGCTTTTTAGTGAAAGATTTTTTTTTTCCTGATGTTTTAATGAATTTATGTGACTGTGTCAAACGAGTCAAAAAGGATAAGTGCTACTTTTTCCTTTTTTTTTTTTTTTTCCAGATGTTATGAATTCTTGAAAACAAATCCATTCTGACTTTCAATGTTGTGCCCAAATATCTTTTTCTAGATTTAGGGACCAATGCCACATTGTTCTTAACCATTTTTTTTAAAGTTGCCAAAAAAAAAAAAAAAAAAGTTGCTTTTTATTTTTCTGATTTGCCACTTTGCAGTATTTGTGTTTTAAATTCAAAGGGACAGCACTGCGTGTGTGTGTGCGCGCGCGGTGGGTGTTTATACTGTTCAGAGAACAAAACTGAAGCTATTTTGTATAAATCCTCAATTTCGAACAATCAGATCGGTTTCCTTTGCAGTGTGGCCGAGGCTGCTGCTGACACCCCTCAAAGATGGTACCAGCTGCCTTTCCTGCCAACCTAACCTGTCCCCATCACCCTTGCCTGGCAGTTTAAAGAAAAAAACCCATTCTGAACGAGGTGATTCGTGCCACGAAACGCCTCTTCTCCTCTTGCACCCTACAGAACTTCGAAACTGGCATCACGTCGCCCTTTTAAAACAGTTTTCCTGATTTTGAGGCAGAAGTTACTTTTCGGGCAGGAGATGTTTTTACATTGATCCCCGGAGCACGGAGCTGGAGCTGTGCCATGGGGGGCGAATTGGTGGTCCCCGGGCCGCGGGGTGCCCGTCGCAGCCGCCACGTTGCCGTAGGTGCTCCTTCCTGCACCGTCACGCTCTTCGGCTCCTTGGCCTTAAGGAGCTCTTAAAAATCCGTGAGTTTGCAATTCTCTGGCCCCTCACATTCGCGCTCCTGTCAGGAATTTCGACTCCGCTTCCAGAGCGGCGTTAGCAGTAGGTAGGTGACTTTATCCCGATGGGTCTCCGGACACAAAACGCCTCCGTTATTTTTTATAATTATTTTTTTTTTCCTCTCTCCGTCATTCCTGCCTCACCACCCCACCCGGCTCCAAAACTTTGCAGGAAATCCTTAGTTCCCAGATGAGTGACCTCCATCCCCAGACCCCCAGTCCCTTCCACTCTGAAGGGTGGTTTTGATCCCAGTTTGGAGAACTGGTTTCTCATAAAGTCCTTTGAGATCCTCGGGGAAGAGATGCTGTGAGCATGCCGGGCTTGCGAGCTCCTCGTGGGATTTCTGGTTGGATGCCTCAGCTCAGCAAACCTCTGCTTAGGTGGGCTCTCCCCTGCGAAGGGGGGCTGCCTGCCACGGGGACGGGGCTGGCACGGGTCCGTGCTTGCCAGCTGCGTCCCCGGAGCATGAACAGGATCCGTGCCAGGCTGGATTGGTGCTGCCATCCAAGCGCAGCCCATGCCCGCAGTGCCGGGGACACGCTGGCAGCCTGTGTCGAATCCAAAGCGTGACTGGGTGTCCGAGAGCACTGGGATGGGGGGCCTGGGTGCCAGTCCCAGCTGGGGATGGATCCCTGAGGCAGCTCCCTGCATCCCCAACGTGTTCGGAGCCACCGCGCCAGCACAGCGTCCCCCTGCCCAGGGCATCCCCGGCGGCTGCTGCTCCGCGGGGGGACACGTCCCTTCGTCCAGGTTGAAGTGATGATTTTTATTTTATTTTCATTTTTTTTCTCCATTAGGTTAGCTAGAAATCCTCAAATTCTCCATGTTTTCCAGTGTTTGCATGTTCAGAACTTACAGATTTAAGGATTCTCTGTTCTGGAGGGGTGTCTGTGCGTGAAGGCGGATCCGTGCCGGCGGGATGGCCGGGCGACGTAGCTGGAGAGGCACGAGAACGGGATGGGAAGAGACAGAGGAGGTGTTACAATTGCATAGCATGGAAGTTTTGTAAAAGTGGGATTTTGTTTTTTGTTTTCAGTGGCGAGCAGAGCAGGAGGGACAAGTGTCCCCTGCCCGGTGTCCGTCACCGCTGATGCTGGATTGACAATCCAGCCGCTCCGGGTTATTTGAATGTTTGGTGCCGTTTTTGTACCGCAGTAAGTGGCTGAGATGACGTGTGTTTTTTATTTTTTAATCTAGTGGGTTGGTTTTTATTTTTTTTGGAAAACAAAACCGAAAGTAACGCTTCCCCAGACGGTGATCTCCGTGTCCGTTTGTACGTGTGACTTCAGGGCTGTGTGCTT